AATGTCATCAGCCATTAGGGAAACACAAATCAAAACCACAATGAGATACTACTCCATAATCTCTAGGATGACAATAACAATAATAAGTGGAAAACAACAAGTGTTGGCTAAGATGTGGAGAAATTGGAGCCCTCATACATTGCTGGTAGGAATATATAATGGTACAGCTGCTGTGAAAAACAGTTTGACTGTTACTCAATAAGTGAAACATAGAGTTACTATATAGCCTAGCAATTCTACTCTTACATTTATACCCCAAATAAATGAAAACATGTGTTCAAACAAAATAAATGGCATGCATGTTCATAGCAGCACTATTCATAGTAACCAAAAGATAGAAACAATCCAAATGTCTATTAATGTGAATCAATAAACAGAATGTGATATATCCATATAATGGAATCTTATTAAGCCGTGGAAAAGGATGAAGTACTGATACATGGTACAACATGGATGAACATTATGCTAAATGAAAGAAGCCAGACACGAAAGGACACATATTGTCTAACTCTCTTTATATAAAATGTCCAGAACAGGCAAATCCAGAGACAAAAAGCAGATTAGTGGTTGCCAGGGGCTGGAGGGGAGGGGCAAATTGAGAGTGAGTGCTTAATGGGTACAGGGTTTCCTTTTTGGACGATGAAAATGTTCTGGAATTAGATAATGGTGATAGTTGTACAACATTATGAATATGCTAAATACCACTGAATTGTAGACTTTAAAATGGTTAAAATGGTAAATTTTATGTTATATGAAATTTCCCAGTACAAATAAAATGGTGCTTGGCACTCCTAGGGCAGTAACAGTAATTTAAGTGAGATTTATGATGAGTTTTTCCTAACATGGAAAACACTTATGCTATGAGTGAGAAAAGCAGGGGACCCAATTTTCCTTACAATATGATCTCAGCCTCACAAAAACAAGCAAAGTCTGTGCACAGAAAAAAACTGAGGAAATATACCAAAATGTTAATGGTGATTATCTCTGGGTGGTGGGACTCTCTGGCTGGCTTTGTTTTCATCTTTTTACTTTCTAATACTTTTCAGTTTTTCTTTAAGAAAACATATACACTATCACTTTTATAATGGAAAAAACACCTAAAAAAAAAAAGTAAGGAAGACAATAAATGTCATTTAAAATAAAAGGAAACAGTGGATAGAGGCGAAGAGACACAGAGGAGCCAAATCAAGAGAGAACACGCTTCAGGGGAGCAATCATGCAATTTGGACTTGAAAATTGCCAGGGAACAGATGGCAGCATCTAAGCAGACATCTGCAATGGATAGCGAAATCATATGCAAAGACACAAGTGGCCTTTGAAGCAGGCCCTTGAGAGGCCCGGCAGAGAACGCTGCTTGCCTGGCCAAACAGAAGGGCAAAGCCCTTCTCCGTCTTGTCACAGTCTGGCCTCCTCGGAGTCCTGCTAGAGGCCCAGAGGCTGCGGTGGGGTTCAGCTCAGGTGGACTTCCACGTGTGAGGGTGCAAAAGAGGTTGTGGAGGAAGGAAGAGGCTTCTAATAGTGACCTAGGCAAACATTGCGACTGAAATTAACATGGGGTTTCACAGTTTATAAACATTCTCACACACATAATCTAAATGTTAGTTATGATTGCATCACCTTTTACCATGGCCCTGTGAGGTAGGCAGTTATTATTCCCATCTTGCTATGGAAGAATGAGGCACGGAGAAGTGATATGAGCTATTTATTTAACTTTTATATAGTGCTCTCTATGTGCCAGACACTGTGCTGAGAGCTTTCACAGGCATCTGTTACCTACGTTCACACAGCTAGTAAGAGGCAGAACTGGGACTCAAATTTGGCTTTTTAGACTGCACTACACCACACTTCTGTTTATGTCTAAGCAGAATTTACCTATATCTGCAGAATCTTAAGTAAGGCCACAGTGATTCTATCTATCTCTCTCTCTCTATCTATCTATCTATCTATCTATCTATCTATCTATCTATCTATCTATCATCTTCCATCTGTCTACCTATCCACTCATCCATACCTCTCTCCATCCATTCATCTATCTATCCATCCACCCATCCATCTTTATTTTTCTGATTATAAGTGTAATACATGATTTTTTAAAACACGCAAATATGCTGAAATAAGTAACATAAGAAGTAAAAAATTTCCCTAAATCTCACACCTAAAAATAAGCATTCTTAACTGTTTAATATGTGCTCTTCCAGACTTTTTTCTGTGGACATACTACCTGCATATTTTTCTTTCACTTTTTAATAGGATAATACTGCACCTGCACTTAATGTAACTCCCATTTCACACAATAGTAAGCCTTGAAAAACTCTCCATGACTATAGAGGCCTATCTTGTTTGTTTCACTATTCCATTGTATAGAGGTAGCAATTTTCCTAAATAGTCACTTATTGATAGACATGCAGGTTTGTCAATTGTTCTTGATTATAAACAATGCTGCAATAAATATCATTGTACTCTCATCTTTGTCTATCTGTATATTTGTCTAAAATGAATTGGTAGAAATGAAATTGCTGGGTCAAAGGATACACACAATTATATACAATTAAGATTGCCATAGATAATGGCAAATTGCCCTTCAGAAAAAAAAATACTTAATTGGCAATCCCACTAGCAGTGTGTAAGAGTGACTCATTTTCCCACAGGCTTGCCAACGCTGGATATTCTGTCTTCTAAAATTCTATCAACCAAGTAGGCAAAAATGGTGTCTCCTTATTGTTTTAATTTGTGCTTAAAAATAGTAAGGTGGCATCTTTTTATAGTATTGGCCTTTATATTTCTGCTTTTGTAAATTGCTTTTTCCCATCTTTTGGCAACTGGTTTTAAATTAGTATACTGCAGGCTGGGTATGGTGTCTCACACTTGTAATCCCAGCACTTTGGGAGACCGAGGTGGGAGGATTGCTTGAGCCCAGGAGTTCGAGACCAGACCAACCTAGGCAACATAATGAGACATCGTCTCTAAAAAGAATTTAAAAATTTGCCAGGCGTGGTGGCATGCACCTGTGGTTCCAGCTAATTGGAAGGCTGAGGTGGGAGGATTGCTTGAGCCTGGAAGGTCAAGGCTGCAGTGAACCAAGTTCATGCCACTGCATTCCAACCTGGGCAAGAGACTGAGACCCCCTCTTAAAACAAAAAATCAAAAACTAAATTAGTATACTGCAGAAAGGAGAGGCCCTTGTAGACCACGTGAGATTATGATACATTTTCTTTTAAGGTGCAACTAAGTCCTGGAGATTTATGCTCACCATAAAACCAGTTCTTAAATGTATTTGACGTCATTTCGGAGGGCTGAACAGAAAGGCAGTTAACCAACAACAATTGAGATTTGGGTTTCAGATCGCTTATTGTCTTGTGGGATCAACTCTTGATTTATTAGTCACATGAAAGATGATAAAGTAATATAATCACATAAGCCAGGGACAGAAATAAGCATTTGCTCATTCATCACTGGATAGTTCAGAAATAACTCCCTGGCAGGTGGATAGTATGAGTTCCTGCACATGGGAGTGTGTGATGCAGGTGAAATGTATATGAGTGTGTATGGGGGCAGGCATATGTATGTTATTGTTTGCTTTTGGAGAATGTCCACTAGAGGAATGGAGGGAGAGAATACTATATGGTCAGAGAATATCTGGAAGCTTTCGTTTGGCGGCATCTCCCAGAAGCAGGGAAGTATTTACTTCCTGCTAGCCTCTGTAGTGCTCTGTTATGGCTGTCACTGTTTTAGAGTGGTGGTCCCAACGTTACAACTCTAATTCAGGGACTGGTTACAATTCCAATTCTGCCACAAAGCTCTTTATCTTCTGGCTTAGGCTGTACTGGCACTGGAATTAGGTTGATAATTAGATAATCCTCAGATATTTACCTAGTAGACTGGGGGTGTAAGGTTTGTAGTGGTGATAGTATCATCACTCATCTGTAGCTTCTTGTGAGACAAAGGGCATGTCCAATGTAAAGTTTCATAGATACTGCCAAATTACTTACCAAAAGACTGTACCCAATGGACACGTCCTTCAGCAATGTTTGACAAGGTTTTGCATATATCATCTCACTTAATCTTCAAATAATCTTGTAAAGTCATTAGGGAGAGGCTATTATCTGGCATAGACTATAATGTGAATGGCAGCCCTTAAAGTTGAATGGGCATACAACGCTGTGGCCCCAAATCTCCATTTTACTGAAGCAAACATTGAGGTATCAGGAGGATACGTTACTTGCTCAAAGTTCCACAGCTGATAAGTGTTAGGGCATGAATTTCAACCCAGGCTGTCTGACTCCAGAGCCAATGGTAACTGGAGTCTATGGCCATCTTGAAATCACTGCAGTGCCCTTGGTGAGGAGACAGAAGGAGGCCATCAGGATGCACTCAGGGCAGTGCCATGTCTTCCATTCCCGAGTACAAACAAGTCCCAGAGTTTCAGTATCGTCCAGCTGGTCATTCTTCAGGCCTTTGTCAGTGCCTTTCAGTGAGAAGCAGTCCCCAGAGACAGAATAAATTAGATCATTTGGCTCAGGAAAAGGCATTGGAGAAACAAATTGCTGTTGCACCCTGAATACAATAAGGCAGTTAGGTAGGCGGAAATAGCTCTCTTTTGATTATATGAGTGAGGATTATGCGTAGCAAATTTGAATTCCAAGCTGCCTTTTCGTTGGCCTCTTCCCCACCCTTTCACTAGCCATACACTTCTTACTGCCTCTCCAAGCTGTCCAGCTGGTATGTGCTCTGGGAACACTAATCTAACTTTTCATATTAGTCCAGGCAAAATATAATTAGGAAGAAACTCTTCTGCCAAAACAAAAATCACATGCTAATGTCAAATAGAGATGATTTTTTACATCTACTATTTTTGTTTATTTGGATCAGTATTGACTCAATTATATTGTATAATCCAGATTTGACCATATTGCCAAATACAATAAAACAATTTTTAACAGAAATTTCATTTGTTTTCTCTTTCCCCTCCCCCAAATTTGGACAGATACACTTTCATTAAAAGGAAAAAAGCTGGATTTTTTTGGAAGAGGTGACACATATGTAAGCCTGATAGATACCATTCCTGAACTCAGCCGATTCACAGCATGCATTGATCTGGTATTCATGGATGACAACTCAAGGTATTGGATGGCCTTCTCCTATATTACAAATAACGCCCTCCTGGGCAGAGAAGACATAGACCTTGGACTTGCAGGAGACCATCAGCAGCTAATACTATACAAATTGGGAAAGACCTTTTCTATCCGTCACCACCTGGCTTCATTTCAATGGCATACAATATGCTTGATATGGGATGGTGTGAAGGGCAGATTAGAACTTTTCCTGAATAAAAAAAGGATACTGGAAGTAACGGATCAACCACACAACCTGACACCTCATGGGACTCTATTCCTAGGGCACTTTCTCAAGAATGGGAGCAGCGAGGTTAAAAGCATGATGCATAGCTTTCCTGGCAGCTTGTACTACTTTCAACTCTGGGACCACATCCTGGATAACGAAGAGTTTATGAAGTGTTTAGATGGAAATGTAGTTAGTTGGGAAGAAGACGTTTGGCTTGTCAACAAGATCATCCCAACTGTTGACAGGACACTGCGCTGCTGTGAGTAACTTATCAACTTTTTTCCTTAGCAAGGGTAGTGTTGCAGTGGCCCCAGGTTGCTAGTTTTGTCATCACTTTTTAATGAGGAGCACATACTGTTTTCTTTTATCTTTATTTTGATAAGATTTCAAACTTTTAGAAAGATTGGAAGAATAGGATAGAAGAACACACACACACACACACACACACACACACACACACACACCACTTACTTGTTTCTAAGTCATTTGAGAGTAAGTTGCAGGCAAAATTCTTTGTTACCCCTAAATATCTCAGTGTGTATTTCCTAAGAATAAGGAATTCTCTTACTTAACCACTCTGTAATGATCAAAATGAGAAAATTTGATGTTGATACAATACTAATATCTAATTCACATTTCACATTCATATTTAGCTCATTATCCTAGTAATTTCTTTTGTAACTATTTTTTGCTTGCCCCAGGATCCAACTTAGGATCACACATTACATTTAGTTGTCATGTCTCTTTAGACTACTTTGGAATAGATTCTCTGCCTTTCCTTGTCTTCATGACCTAGAAATTTTTAGCATACAGTCCAGTTATTTTGTCTCTCAATTTATGTTTGTCTAATAGTTCCTTATAATTAGATTCAGGCTTTGAATTTTTGGTAAGAATACCACAGAAATGATGTTATATTCTTCTCAGTGCATCACATCAGTAGACACATGGTGACAATTTGTCTCATTATTCATAATAACTTTGATCACATGATTTCAGTGATCTCTGTCAGATTTCTCTACCATAAAGTTATTATTTTTTCCTTTTTAATTGTTGAGTAATTTCTGGGGAGATATTTGGAGGTTATGTAAAATATCCCCTTCTTAACATAATTTCACCCAATAGGTTTTACATCTATTCATGATTCTTGCCTGATTCACTAATCACTATGATGTTTGCAAAATAATGATTTTTAAAATTCCATTTTTTTACATTTATTAATTGGCATTCTACTGTAAGAAAGAGCTTTTTCTTCTTCCATAGTTATGTGTTTATTTATTTAAGACAAAGGGTCTCACTCTGTTGCCAAGGCTAGAGTGAAGTGGCATGATCATAGCTCACTGTAACCTCTAACTTCTGGGTGGGCTCAAGTGGTTTTCCTGCCTCAGCCTCCCAAAGTGCTGGGATAACAGATGTAAGCCACCACACCCAACCTTATTTATGTGTTTATTTATTTGAACATGAACTCACAGATTCTTATTTTATTCAATGGGTTGCAATCTGTTACTATCATTTATTTTGATGTTCAAATTTGTCCAGGGCTGGTCAGTGAGAGTTCTTCAATCTGGTTCTTGTGTCCTTTTGACACGTTCCCCATCATTCTTTGAGCATTTTCTTAGTCTCTGGCACAACAAGATGTTCCAGGCTCTTCTTGTATATTTTCTGCTCAGCCCAAGGAGCCATCATTTTACTAAGGCATCCCTGCTCCTTTTAGTGGGGAATGATATTTATAAACCAATTTACTTTTTCTTCTGAGAGCAATTATGATATTGGAGAACTGTTTGGAATGAAGTTCTTGTAAGGAAACTGGCTTCTTGGAATTGCACCTGTATTTGTCTCCTCTCGAGTTTGGGGAAGGAAGGATGAGATTGCTTTTCTCTACATAATCCCACTCTGCTCTCAAATCTAGTCCTCTCCACTATCAGCAGCAGCAGTCTTCAGCATGGGATAATAGCATCAAGACAAGATTTTTTTGCATTTCCCGAAATATTCACTTATTCTTGAAGGAGTGTTATTGGCTGTTCTTATGGGTTTTTTTTCTTTCCAGGAGGAAGCTGTTAGGAAAGGAATAGGGGCTAGATCCATGCCTAAAAGGGCTCTCTCAGACTAAGGGCATATGTTTTCACCAACAGTCTGGATGCTGTTTGAGTTAACAGCAGAGGCACATTCCAGGGGATTTCTGTTTCTCTGAGATTAGACCAATGCAAAGGAACAGGAAAGCTATTCCTTTGTGCTACTACCCAAAGGTATTTGGTTTTTCTCTTTTCTGAGGCCTTAAAAATAAAAGAGAATATTCCTAGCTGGCTCTGATTACAAAACTGAGCTACAGACTAGTAGATTAAGCCTGAACAGCTCACCCAAAGCAGTTTAAAGTAATTTTATTTTTGATCTCAGGAACCAGAAGTATGGCCTTATATCCATGTGCTCAGCAGTGGTCTTTTAAAACCGAATCTGGCCAGTTAATGGCCATGAGTTTTCCTACCACTTTGTGAGCAGATAGCTAAATCTAACTGCTGTGTTAAAGTACTAGACAACCCTCTTTTATTTTGCTCTTTTGTACACTTTTTAAAAATTTTTATTTTTATTTATTTATTTATTATTTTGAGACAGAGTCTTGCTGCAACACCCAGGCTGGAGTGCAATGGTGCCATCTCATCTCACTGCAACTTCTGCTTCCCGGGTTCAAGTGATTCTCCTACCTAAGCCTCCCGAGTAGCTGGGACTACAGGCACGTGCAACCATGCCTGGCTAATTTTTGTGTTTTTAGTAGAGACAGGGTTTCACCATATTGGCCAGGCTGGTCTTGAACTCCTGACCTCAAGTGGTCTGCCTGCCTCGCCCTCCCAGAGTGTTGGGATTACAGGCGTGAGCCACTGCACCCGGTCTCTTTCATACACTTTTTAATGGACGACCATCCTCTGGGTCTGATTGAATCATGGTGGGCATAATGCACAATCTAACATAAGAAACAAGGAAATTATCACCTCAAACAAACAAAAAAGGTAGTAAATGTTCCTCTACTATTCAGATCTCTTTGAGTGTTCTTTCCAAACCTTGGACCAGGAGTTTCTAATCTGGGGGCCAGAATGGCCTTGAAGGAGTTGACAAAGCCCCTGAAATTACAACACCCTAAAAATACAGGGTAGATTTTTTTTTCAGAGGGTGCAGTCTATAGTTTCCATCACATGCTAACATATTATGGTAATTGGTGCCTTTTACTAAGTTCTTACCGTGTGCCAGGCATTTTATGGAGGAGGAAATAGGGGCTCAGAGAGGTTGAGTAAATTGCCTAATGTCACCAATCAAATAAGTAGTATAACTGGGGTTTGAACAGACTGGTCTGGTTGCAAAGCACATGTTCTTTTCACTTCCCACCATACAGGACTATCTCAAGTGAGCCTGTGGCCCCCAAAATGTTATGCTATATTACTATGTCTTAGAAGCTTCCTTTGGAGGTAATGGCTGGTCTGATAATTCACCTGGGGAAATTAGGCTACTAGCTGCAGTCATTGCCTGCCTCACCACTGAAGTATCTGTAAAATACCATAGAATTTCACCTATTTCGATTTTGGCTATATGACATCTGGGACAAAGGGGGCAATATATGAATAAATATGAGTGATTACAACATGTCTAGCTTCAGCTTTTGCCTAATAAATTAATATTTATGGCCCATAAAAGGATTATGACCTTTAAAAAATAAGTTTTAATGAGCACATTGCTAGGTTACAAATCTCAATAAATCTATTTACACATAAATTATATATATATATTTATATATTCATGAGAACAAGGCTTTTGGGGAACATTGCCTGAAAAACATGAACCCTACCTGGGTTTAATAAACAAGTATTCACTATAGTTGGAAATGTCTTGGAATATTAAACAACATGGTGATAAATAATAGCAGTGAAATTTCTAGTCATTAGAAATTTTGCTTTCAAGTAGTTTTTAAGCATCTTTTCCTTATTTTTAAAAATTACAAATGTAATACATGTGTTTGTGAATAAAATATATTTAAATAATACAAAAGCATATGAAATATCAAGTAAAACCTACCCTTCACTATCCTCTTCACAGAGGTGTCTATTAAAAAATTTTTTTCCGTGGGTTTATAATAAGTGTGTGCATGTATGTGCATGAGTGTATACAGTTTTAAAATCAAAAATAATATATACATACATGTTGTTCTGCAAATTGATTTATTTTAACTTAATACTGTCATGGACAGACACATAAGCATATTTAGAGCTGTTTTTAGGGCCACATATATTCCATGTAACATAATTTACATGTAACATAATTTATTTAACCCATCATTGATGGCCATTTAAGTTGCTTTCAATTTTTTGCAATTACAAATAATGCTACGGTAAATTTCCTCATATATACCTCTTGGTACATTTAGGTTTGCAATTTTATAGGACACGTTCCTAAGGGTAAAATTTCTCAGTAAAAGCCTATAAGCTGTTACAATTTAAATAGATTTATCATTTTTACTAGTTATTTTATTAATGTAACTATTCATTAAAAATTAATTGATCTCTTAAAGTAAAATTACTAGATATATACAGTAAAAGATTTTAAAATACATGAAAGTATAAATCTAAAGTCTCCTTTCACTTCAGTCTTTTACTCGATGTGTCTCTCCCCAAAAGCAATGATTGTTAACAATTTCTTATATATCCTTGCAGAAAAAATGTAAAACTTGAATTTACATGTAAATATTTTTTTTCTTTTTCACAGTTGGGTTCATCATTATATGCATCCTTTTCTGCATCTTTTTAAAATTTAATAATATTTTTGGAAGCATTTTCATATCAGAAAATACGGGGAGGCTGCTGAATAGTATGAAAGAAAAGGGGTATGCTATAATTTATTCAACAAGCTCTGCTTGAAGGACTTTTAAGTTGTTTCTTGTTTCTAGCTATGACAAAAGTCTACAGGGCTTTTAAAAGTAATGGGTGGTGACAGAAATATCTTGAAGCAACCATAAATAAATTATCACAAGCTAAAGTTCCTCTCAACGTATGGCAAGCATAATTTCCTAATCTCAACTCAGACACATGATCAAACAAAGGAATTTTTTTGACCTGTGAATGTGTGAAGAGAGTCTTCCAAAGACATGCAGATTAAATTCCTCTTAGTTCTACATTTAAGAAATCCCTTCTATTGAAAAGAATGAAATAACTTGAATTGAGTTAATCCTGGGAAATCTACACTGTATCAAAGCATAGCATCCCTATATCTGTGGGGTCATTG